AGCACCCGGAGACTCCAGCTAGTCCAAAATGCGGCCGCGCGGGCGGTGTTGGGAGGGACTCGTCGCTCCCATGTAACACCGCTGCTGCGCGAGCTGCATTGGCTGCCGGTGGCCTTCCGGGTGCGCTTCAAGGTGCTGACCATCATCTTTAAAGCGCTCCATGGCATCGGACCTGGATACCTTCGAGACCGCCTCCTGCTGCAGATTACCTCCCATCGGCCTGTACGCTCCCACAGAGTGGGTCTCCTCAGGGTGCCGTCGGCCAGACAGTGCTGGCTGGCGACCCCAAGGGGGAGGGCCTTCTCTGTGGGAGCTCCCACCCTCTGGAATGAACTACCCCCAGAGATCAGGGTGATCCCTGATCTCCCTTCCTTCCGCCGCACCCTTAAGACATGGTTATTCCAGCTTGCGGGACTGGCCTAGGGGAAAATTTTTAGTGGGGGTTTTAACATAATTTTAAATTATTTAGACCAATTATGAATATTTGTTTTTAATTATGTTTTTAACCTGTAGTTTTGATATTTTGTATTTTTATCTGGTTGTCAGCCGCCCTGAGTCCACAAGGAGAAGGGCGGGATATAAATATAAACAATAAAAAATAAATAAATAAATATTAAGTATATCTATAATTCATTTAATTACATTGCAGAGATAAGAAACTATTGTCCTTCATAATTCCTTGCAGCCACAATTAGCAGGGGAAATATTTAGGGATGTGAACAGTTATTCTTCAGCAATATCAGCAACATCTTTGCAATACAGAGTCACTTTGTTAGACTGTAAGAAAGACCCTTTACATCACAAAAAACCAATTACAGCAGGGGTGTCAAACTGCTGGCCTGCGGGCCGGTTGCATCATGCAGAGGCCACACCCACCCCAACTCCGGCAATGCGAAAAAAGTTGCGATATCTCGCAACACGTCATGTGATGCGGCAAGTTTGACACCCATGAATTACAGTAAAACATTAATTTAATGGACTACTATTTAGCAGACTTGAAAAAGATTGAGTAAAGTTTTCATTTAGATGTCATTCCTCTTCAAAATAACAGGCAAATCTGTTACAGCCCAAATAGTTCAGATAAATCAAGATACATTTCAGTTAATTTCACCTTAATAATGTCATTATAAAATAAAAACAAATTATGTTATATGTCAATTTCTATAATGTTGTCACTATCTAAATGGTGAATATTACAACAGTTGCTTAATTATATCATTATATAAGTGATATAAATAGATCCAAAGAAGTACTTTTGGATTTAGCAAATCTTTGGGAATAATGGATATTCTTTCCTTAATGGTCCACTAAATTAAGTTTTAGTGTATATAGTTTAGAAATTGTTTTTTTCCAGCAATGAGCATAAAGCTCACTTGAAGGTAACAACTTTTCTGTCATTCTTTAACTGCAGAGGGTATTGGGTAGGCATGTCCAAACTTTGATTTGCCTGGGCCATATTGAGTTGGGTTGCAAGGAGGAGGAGGAGGAGGAGATTCAGACTTGCAAGATTCTGTTACTGTAAGTGTTAGAATATAACTAGTCCTGACCCTAACGGCATTGTTTCTTAGTCTAGTCCACCTTGTAGGGCTAACATTGATTTAATTGCAAACCTTCTTTAAGTATGGAGTTTTAGATTCATAACCCCTTCAAATGTCACAGTTGCAATATCTTAAAATTGTCCATTTGGAAGGGCCTGTTTAGGCTATTGAGTTTCAGTGCAAGAATCTGAATAAAGCCGGCATAGTTGAACTGTTATTACATATTTTTTTTACTAATAGTCAAAATCTGTCTTTTTGTAACTTAAATCTATTATTCTCTGTCCTGACCTCTGGAATGAGAAAGAGAGTGAGTGAAAAGCTCTTTACCTTCTAAATCTGTCACCTTTTTATTTATTTATAAAGTATTCTATATTCTATCTCAGTTATTTTTTCTGAAGATTAAACATATCCAGCTCTTTCAGACTCCCTTCTTAAAAGGCAAATACCCTTTCAAAGCAACTGCAATTGGAGAAGGCAACTGAGTTATAAAGACAATATCAGAGACCTGCAGCTATATTATAGTTCCTGTCTCCTAAAATATCACATATTTTTGAGGAATATTCTCCACTTACTTTTTCGTAGGATTCTCTTATTACTCTTTTATACTCTGGTTTTGATGTCCATGTCAATGGAATTATAATTTTTACAGACTTAAAGTAAAATCTTCGTTCTGTAGCACTGATGAGATAATTGGATGCTTCTTTAACCATATCCTAATAGAAACACAAAATACAAATATATTCACTTTGTTGTGGAGCTGTCAATAGTTACTGTTTAGGAGTCTGTACATTGTTCCACTGATTAATTGTTCTGACTGTCAGGAAATTTCTCCTTAGTTCTAGGTTGCTTCTCTCCTTGATTAGTTTCCATCCATTGCTTCTTGTTCTGCCTCCAGGTGCTTTGGAGAATAGCTTGACTCCCTTTTTGTGGCAACCCCTGAGATATTGGAACAATCCTTTTCTTCATTAAACTAGACATACCCAGATGATTCTATCTAGACCTCAACTTTCCAGAATCTGAAAGTCACAAATTATGTTGTTGTATCTTTTTTTGTCCTTTCTGTATTCTTTTTTTTTCTTGAACACTTGACAAAATCTTGACATTCAGGAAATTAGCAGATGAGGCTATCTGCTATGTTGAGAAATTATAAAAAAAGAATTAAATGCATGTGAATAAGATCCATTAAAAATAAAACTATCTAATAACCATACATTCCTAAAGTGTGAAATTTTGCTAAAGCTCACAGTCTTGTTTAATATATGAAAAATACTTTTCTTCCAGCTTATTTGTATGAATTTCCCTCATTTTTTTATATCTTTTTGATGTAATGAACTATTATGGTTCCCATAATCTCAGTAATCATGTTCATTGGCCATATTGATTAAAAAGGAGGACTTGTAGTTCAACTTCAAAAACATCAGGGTGGGGAAGGCCAGCACTAATATGATATATTGTGCCAGAGATCAAATTATTACAATTATATGAAATGAAGGAGGATTTCTTCATCTCTCCTTCAAAGAGGTGAAGGAGGGAGACTAGTTAACAATTAGCCTGAACTGAGTGTGGAAGACTTTTAAAATGGAACACAAAGTCCATATGATAAAGGGCAGCATTATGGGCCTGAGTATTCAAGTTGGTTGAAGTGTTTATGAATTTCTTTAGAGTTTCATAAACATTAATGGTGGAACTTCATAGTAAAAGCAGGAGGTACACTTACACATCACCAAAGAGGAAAGCATTACTAAAAGGACAAAAGCAGGAAAGCAGGAGACTGTGAGTTCTAGTCCCTCTTTAGTCATGAAAGCCAGCTGGATGACCAACTGGCCCAGTCACTCTTTCTCGGCCCCTTACAGGGTTGTTGTTGGGAAGGAGGAAGGAAGGTGTGTTGAATATGTTCATTGCCTTGAGTTATTTGCAAAACTAATAAAGGCAGGATACAATTAAATCAGTAAGACAGAATCAAGTCGCATGATCAATAGAAATAGATAAAAATGGCAGCTATAGTTACAATTTAAACAAATATATTTTAGCTTGTTTATCAGTTGATATTCGTGCCTATTCAAATGGATGCCAATCAGAAAAGGTCTCTTTTCTTATCATCAAATTGGTCTTGAATTGCCCAGTCCCTTGACACAGGGAGCTGTCCACCGTAACACACACACATCTTGGAAGTTACCTCATTATTTACAAGAGACAAATAGATTCTACCACTATATAGCTAGCAGAATTCTTAATGTATTATACAGTTAATATATCCGTAAATGTCTAATTATCATACCTTTATGTTGGTAACAATTTTGTCATCTTCAGGTATCGTTGGATTAATAGCAATAACAATGTCTTCAAAGC